TCCTCAGCTCTTAGCCACTACCTTCTACTTCCCCCACGTCCCCGTGTCTTCATAGGCAATCACTGATTTATTTTCTGTCACTATAGATTTGCCTAATCTGGATCTTTTAAAAATGTGATGGTTTGTGACTAGCTTTTTTTTTTTTCTCCTAGGGCAATATTTTCAAAGTTTCTTCTTGTCAGCCTGTATCAGTATGTGTTTCCTTTTATAGCTGAATAATAGTCCATGTTTATCCATTCATCAGTTCAGATACATTTGAATTGTTTCTACTTATTGGTCATCATGAATAATGCTGCTATCAAGATTAATGCACAAGTTTTTGTGTGAACATATATTTTTATTTCTCTTAGATTTATATCCAGGAGTGAAATTGTTGCATTATGTGATTACTGTACATTTGTTTTTCCAAATTGGTAAATCTACTTTATTTTTCATTTGTTAATTAGGAAAAGAAAACCAAAAACAAGTTGATATTACGAGTAACAATGACAAGCAATTCTGTGACAAAATTGTTGTCTGATGGGCCTTCAAGTTTTCTGATTTTAGATCCCAAATATTTATAGGCTATGAGAACGTACCTCGCTAGCACTGGTCAAATCAATGTTTTGACTCTTTTTTATTATCAGTGAAGGGCTTTTTGTTATAGTTTCATTTTTTTTTGTTCTAGAAATTGCCTCAGACAGGGATTGATGTCAGGAGGCTTCAGGAAGAAATATACATGGATGGGGACCCCAGGGTGCAGGGGCAGTCACAGGTATGGGAGAAACCGAAATCTTGCCATGTGCTTTGCTCATCTCATCATGCTTTGTATTCAGATAAGAATGTCATCCAGAAACACAGCATGTTACTTCTTGTAAGTGAATCTTACTGGTCTAAAATACAAGTTTAAAAGTCAAGATAAAATTAGACTTCAACAAATAATTCAGCCAACCAATATTCAAAGAAAACTGTACAAAAATATGCCACAATGTTATTTCAAACAGAAAGGCAAACCTCTACGGATGGGACTTCCTCCTTGATGGGGCTGACTGCTCCTCACCAGACAGGCCTCGGGTTTCACAGGAAATATGATACTTGAAGAAGGCTTGGACTGAGTCTATTCAATATTGTATTTGAGATTAAATTCCAATAAGCTTAGACATGCCCATTAGACATTTTCCAGGATGTTACTGCCTAAAAAACTAATAATCGCAACACTAAATAATTCTTTACAAGGTTTGTAAACCAATCTGCAACTTTAGGTGTAGTAAAGCAGTTAAATATGTATAGTAAAATTTTGTTTTTAAAAGCATTTACTTCCTTGACTGACCATGGGCTTGTGAAGCTAAGGAAACACCTTGACAGCCTCACTTGGGTGGAGAGAAACTTCCTTGGCAAGAGCTGCCCAAAATGCCAAGTCACACACAGCAGACACTCTCTGAGTGCCCCATTTGGGTTGGGCTTTGAAGCTGGCTTTATACAGGCTGTCAACAATCACACAGAGACTTTTAGGTTTTGTTTACTTGTCAAATAATAAAGCAATAAAAAGACTTTTGGTTTGTTTGCCTTTTTGTCTTACAAATCTATCTTTCATGCCAGCAGTAGGATTTTGAGGTGGTTTTCCTCCTTTGGCTGGACCGTTCCCGGCATCACAGTAGCAGCCACAGCATTCGGATGAGGCTGTCTCTTTGATGGTCTTTTAGGAGCACACTTGCTGCTATCCCAGAAGCCCCTGACAAATGTGTCCCCATGTCTCTTGGCCCCATGAACCAATCACTACAGAAGGGATGGGATTAAGTTTTCCCCAGGAATAAGGGAGAAAGTCACAGCACATATGGGAATAATTAGGAAAGGGTGAAGAAGAATGGATGCTAAGGCATGGCGAACATGGCCCACACCACAGAACTTAACCTGAAAACAAGTCCTCTCTGACCTTGACAGATTCCCACTTCAAATCTCTCCTCCACTGACATTCTCAGCTGTATCTTTGGTGTGTCTTCTCCTGTAACACCCGATGACAGCTAAAACATTCTAATGGAGTCTTTAGGGGTTTTGGGGGCAGTGATTCTCAAAGTTTAAAGGAAAGGAATGACCTGAAGATTTATTACAATTTGGGGTGCAATTGTGCCACCCAGAGGAGTTCAAATTCACTCTGTGTGTGTGTGTGTGTGTGTGTGTGTGTGTGTGAGAGAGAGAGAGAGAGAGAGAGAGAGAGATTGCAGGTGGAGGGATTGTCATTTTAACAAGCAATCCAGATGATTTGAATGCAGGTAATCAATGGACCTTGCTGAAAGCAATCCAATTTAGAACCTATAAAATGTTAAAACTATGTAGCCAAAAGAATTTGGAGTTTAAATCACAGCAATCTTTCTATTCATGAAGGTTTAAAAAAATTCATCACTCCGGGAAAAGAAGAGCATGCTATTTAGATTTTCCACAGGTTGTTATATATTTCCAGAATCCTCTCCAGGTAATTAGGGTGAGTGGTATTATTCTGACTTTGCTGATTGGGAGATTAATGCAGGTAAAGGGATTTGCGAAAGGTTAACTGCCTGGGGCGTAAACCCTGCCAAGCCTCCTGACTTTTGTACAGAGGTCAAGTAACATGGCGTTCCTCTGCCACTACTAAAGTCAAAAGCATTGAGAAAAGCATGCATAAAATATAAACACATTTCCTAATCTAATTTTGGATCAAGATTTCCTCATCTCTCCAACTCTCTATCAGTAGGCAACTTTGGGGGAGGCAGTGAGCTAAAAAGAATTTAGTCATATTCTACCTTTAAGTATTTGACTTGGGGACCCATTACGGGGAAACTTAAATCTCACAGATATGTTACTGGGGGAAAAAACACATAGTCCCCTACAGAAAAACATCATCACATATTTTCCATAGCTGAGGGTTTGACTGGCATTAATCAGGACAGATACAATCTGAGTTTTTAACTTACTATAGATATAAGCTTGAGAAGAGACAAAGGAAACACAGGGTTCCTTTTTAAGATACCATAAATGTCTTTCAAGAAGGATGCAGGCAGCTTCTTTGATTTCAGAAACTTCCACTGGGAACTTCCTAATGTGTTGTCTGGTTGGGTTTCACATACCATATCATGAGATTCTTCACAGAAGATAAAGACTCTTTGACAGCGAAGAAGAATTCTAATTCTACAGTCTATCTTTTCCTTTACCATCAAGAGAAAACCTGCATTCTCCCCCATGAGAAAAATTCCAAATATCATGGGCTGAAACAAAGAATTCTTTAATCAAATTAGTAAAAGAACCCCCCAGCAGAAACAGTGCATCTTTTTGAAGGTTAAAGATGTTATAGGCCAGGCACAGTGTCTCACGCCTGTAATCCCAGCAGCCCATTGGGAGGCTGAGGCGAGGTGGATCTCTTGAGGACAGGAGTTTGAGAACAGCCTTGCCAACATGGTGAAACCCCGTCTCTACTAAAAATACAAAACTTAGCTGGGTATGGTGGTGGGCACCTTTAATCCCAGCTACAGAGGACTGGGCAGGAGAATCACTTGAACCTGGGAGGTGGAGATTACAGTGAGCTCAGATCACATCATTACACTGAAGCCTGGGCAACAAGAATGAAACTCTATCTCAAAAAAAAGTTATGAATAGAGAAAATGTTTTGTGTGTCAGATCTCTGTCTGGGTGAAAAATACCATTTTGCTATTACACAGTTTAATTGTAGGCATCAGATAACCATACTTTATTTGCCAAAAACCTACTGTTTAATGAACTACAAAAATGGTTCTAAAAATCACAAGAAGCTGGCCAAGTGTGGTGATGCATGCCTCTAATCCCAGCTGCTGGGAGGCTGAGGCAGAATCATTTGAACCTGGGAGGCAAAGGTTGCAGTGAGCCGAGACTGCGCCATTGCACTCCAGCCTGGGCAACAAGAGCAAAACTCACTCAAAGAAAAAAAAAAAAAAAAAAAAAATCATCAGAAGCATTATTCAAATAGTAATTTTAAAAGCATGGTGGCTCACACCTGAAATCCTAGCACTTTGGGAGGCTGAGGCCAGTGGATCACCTGAGGTCAGAAATTTGAGACCAGCCTAGCCAACATGGTGAAACACCATCTCTGCTAAAAATACAAAATTAGCCAGGCGTGGTGGTACACACCTGTAATCCCAGCTACTCCAGAGGCTGAGGCAGGAGAATCGCTTAGAACCTGGAAGGTGGAGGTTGCAGTGAGGAGAGATCTTGCTAATGTATTCTAGTCTGGGCAACAGAGAACTCTGTCTTAAAAAAAAAAGAAAAGTCTTTTTGATAGCAGAGTTGTGTGTGAGCATGCTGGGCCTATAAAAAGCAGTTTTTCTAGAATACCCTTCATTCCTGGCATTCACCAACCTAGAAACCTCAACAAATGGGCTTAGTTTGCCAATCACAAACCAAGTGACCCATCCTGTCAGCTGTCACTGTCCTCTAAATTAGAAAATTGTCTGTGGCAATCAGCTGTGGCCCTGTTTATTGTCAATACCAAAAAAATCCCCAAATAAAATATTTATCATAGCAGATCAACCCTGAACCAGAAGGAAGAGAGCACAACAGATATTCCTAAGCCCCAATACCTTACCAAAAGATTGTTGTCTTATAGCGTACTTTGTTTTGTGGGTCTCAATCTACTGCTTTAAAGAGTTGCTTTCTTTAAACACACACAGTTTCTTTGTTGGAAATGCTCATTTTGCTACACAACAATCTTCTGGGTTTATTCAATTTCCTCTAATTTCCTCTATTGTCTGAATTTGGAAAAGAACTGAAAAGCACATTAGACATTTGTCCTCTTTTCTTACAAAAAGCAAAAATGCATTAGAGGGCAAGCACACCCACTCGTGCAGGACAGGTCCATCCCACTTAGCACCCTCAGCGGAGGTCCTCTGCACCCTGCGATATTAGCCAATTGAGCTGCCAGGTCAAAAGGCAAGCAACACTACTCAGGGCTACCTCACAAGAAACAGCTGTTGAACTGGTCTGACATTGCAGTCAACCCAGGGGTTTCATTTGCAAGCAACACTACTAAGGGCTACCTCACAAAAAACAGCTGTTGGACACAGTCTAGACTGCAGTCAACCCAGGGGTTTCATTTACTTCTGCAGAGTAAGTGAGGCAGAGATAGCAGACAGCTGTGCCATGCACAGACCTGCCCCTAAAATATGTATTCCTGGGTGGGAAACACCAATTAAAGTCTGACCCACTGTTCTTCCCTTTCCACTGGGTTCTGTGCCCCAGCATGAACATCCTCCTTTAAACGTGGGTGGAAACACCAGTGCAAACATCAATCTACTCAGTGCACACCCCTTGCAAACAGTTGCCCCTTGGACCTAGGGTTGTGCAATCTGGCCTGCATCTGGAAGGAGGCCCAAGCAGGCCTTGGTAATGGGCATTTGGCTGTTTGAGAAAGAGGCCTGGGTTCCTGGGAGCCCAGAGAACACACTAGAAGGGGCTGTGTGCATCACAGCTTTTCACTCTGTGCAGAGAAATACACCCAGCGAAGGAGGGCCAGTGCAGAGGTCCCTAAAACATAGGGCCCAGCAGCCTGTTTTGGGGGTCTAAGGACAGGATTGCTGTGGGCAACCCCAGGGTGGGGTCTCTGGGATGAACCTGGAGACCTGTGCTTGCACAGCTTCCTTGGTCAATTGAGGAGGTGTGGACCACAAGACTGCCAAGCTCCTTTCTATCCAAACTTGATACTGTGAGATTCCATGATCCAGTTTGTCACAGTTGATGGCTCAATCTCATGCACTAGAAAAAGGTAGTATAAAAGAAAAAAATAAAAAGACATTCAAGTGAGTATAAAGACCTTTAATCTCAGCCTCTCTAGTTCAAAGAGATACTGGTTCATAGAGCTGTTAGATTTAACTTCCACAGATGACTCAACAGAGGATAACTACTAATCAGAGTACAACATCAAAACTGTAACCAATATAATCACTGGATTATGAATAACTCAAAATAGCTCCAGTTTCCAAAGGGCCATAAAGTGTACATATCAGTATGATGTGCAATTAACACATAATTTATTATGAAAATGTGGACATGCCAGGTAAGTAAGGGGGTTTAGGTTGACTTTTTATAATACTTTAAATTTAAAATGCCATTTCTGTGGACTAGATGACATCTTCCAGATTCTTTAATTTGGTTTACCTCCTGATAGATCCTGATAGAAACAGGTAGCACCAGCCTCTACTGAACCTCAATACAGTTGCAAAACACAGAGAGCCTGCTTGCCTACACATGGAGAAACACTGTTATCACAAGACACAGAAGGCAAACTTCCAATCTGGCATACTTACCTGTCCTCTCATATTTAGTGCAATAAGAATGGGGGACCAGATGGTTAAGTAGATGCCAAAGAACACCAGACCAGTCAGTGTGCTTCCCCAGACAGTCAGATGACTGAACTGCAGAGGAAAACAGTCACTTAGACACGGCTTCTCGGCTGGACTGGCAGATTCACCCGAACTCCACCTGCCACAGAATGCCTGCATCCTAGCTAGCTCTCCTTATGGAAAGATTCTCATGACTCATAGCTTACTGGGGAGGTCAATCTTCCTAATTCCCTTGTCTCAGAATTTTTAACAATGACTTGAAGTTATGAGTGTCCCCAAAGTACTCTGAAGATGAACATGCTTTTGCTGTCATGGCTGGCCTTTCTCTTAAGATTTATACCATAGTGACGCGGGTTCCTCTCAATTCATGGCAAGTGTTTGCTCCAACCTAAGGCTGTATACAACAAGGATTCATTAATCTGGTAAGAGAGTGGCTGAATGGACAAAATCAGTAAGATGTTTTTATTGATCATTTTGGGACTTCAATTGTTCTGTTCAATTTGCAAAGAATTTTTTTTTTAAATCTGGAATGGATATTGCCTCTTAACAGTGTTTCTTTAAGCATCTACTGAGTTGTTCATTTTTCCTCCTTTGTCCTCTTAATATGATGACCCTTGACTTCTTTCTTTCTTCCACAACACACAATCTAATCTATATGCAAGTTCTCTTAGCTTTTAAAAAGATAAAATAAATCCAGGCTCTGACCACTTCTCACTGCCTCCTCCTCTAACATCCTAGGCTAAAGACATCATCACATTTAACCTGGATTAATTGCCACTGTCTCTTAGGGCAGTGGGCCCCATCCCACAACACAGGCCATGGACTGGTAGCAGACCATGACCTGTTAGGAACCAGGCTGCACAGCAGGAAGTGCACAACAGGTGCGCAAGCAAAGCTACATCTGTATTTATAGCCATTTCCTATCACTGGCATTCCCACCTGAAGTTCTGCCTTCTGTCAGATCAGCAGGGGCACTAGATTCTCATAGAAGCATGAACCCTATTGAGAACTGTGCATGCAAAGGACCTAGGTTGCATGTTCTTTCTGAAAATTTAATGCCTGATGATCTCTCACTGTCTCCCATTACCCCCAGATGGGACTATCTAGTTGTAGAAAAACAAGCTCAGGACTCCCACTGATTCTGTATTATGGTATATAATTATTTTCTTATATATTACAATGTAACATATAAAAGAAATAAAGTACATAATAAATGCCACTGTCTCTTAGGCAGTGGGCCCCATCCCACAACACAGGCCAAGTGGACTTGGTAGCAGACCATGACCAAGGGAACCACAGCTGCACAGCAGGAAGTGCACAACAGGTGCGCAAGCAAAGCTACATCTGTATTTATAGCCATTTCCTATCACTGGCATTCCCACCTGAAGTTCTGCCTTCTGTCAGATCAGCAGGGGCACTAGATTCTCATAGAAGCATGAACCCTATTGGAGAACTGGGTGTGCATGCAAAGGACCCAGTTGCATGTTCTTTCTGGAAAATTTAATGCTGCCTGATGATCTCTCACTGTCTCCACACCCCAGATGGGACTATCTAGTTGTAGAAAAACAAGCTCAGGACTCCCACTGATTCTGTATTATGGTATATAATTATTTTCTTATATATTACAATGTAACATATAAAAGAAATAAAGTACATAATAAATGTAACGCTCTAGCGCTACATCCGGAAACCAGCCCTCTAGAGACTCGGAAGTCCTCTTGTCCATGGAATAATTATCTTCCATGAAATGTACAGTCCCCTGATGCCAAAAGTTGGGGACTGCCATCTGATAGGAGATTACCTATTCCACATTGACTTATCACCTCATACTCATTTTTTTTAGCAGAGCATTTAAACATCAGGCAGGTCATGATACTTCATGAGAGACAAAAATAAAGATTTAGATATAATCTTTAAATGTTGGAAATAATGAAAATGTCTAAAATAGGAGACTGCTGAAATAAATGATGGAACATCTATAAAACTTAATAATCTATAATCATAAACAATAATTGTGTTAAATTATATTTTAAGGCATAGAAATTGTGTCTAATCTTTTTTTAATAATAAAGCCTTGTGTTCTGTAATGCATCATCTTATTTAAAAATACACACACACACAGACATAGAACAATGTCTGGAAGGATCCCCAGCAAAGCATTAGTAGTGACTGTCTCTTGATAAAATTATGGAAATTAAATTTTTTTAGTCTTTCTTTATTTTCTATATATTTGGGTATGTATATGGTTTTTGTTTTTAAAATGGGGCTTTACATTTGAAATGAGATGACTGTTGTAAGCTTAGAGGTGTATTAGGTGCCAAGCAAATAAATCACCAAGAGAATTTGGATTGCAAATTTGCTCCAATAAAGATCAATCCACAATTTATACATATCAAATTTGAAATAAGATAACCAGATGTTGTTTATTGTTTCCCCTAGGCTTAGAAATAAATCATAGCATGAAAATGTCTATACTGAATAGAGAAACAATTCTAGACACTTCCAGAAGAGCTTTCAATCTAGTGATGGGCCTTCTCATAAATAGTAGAGAAAGACTTTCTGTTACCTTGGATGATTTGAGAAACACCACCATTCTGAGTGTTGCTCTCCTTTGCAGGTAGATGTGAAATGGCCATTTGAAGAACGGGGAAATCTGCTAATCACCTGTCAAGAAACTTTGACTTTGTATTTCATAACCATTCAGGCCTTTAAAGGATCTATCAAATATATTTTGAGGAGTTAAAATAAGGAATAATAACAAGGGAGGTCATATATATAGGGTTTAGAGAAAGAAGTACAAGTCACACATGAGCTACTTAAGAATGGCTTAGCAAACAGAGATAAACTTACTGTGTAAACAATATTTTCAACAAATAGATAGGCAGTGGCAGGACCACTGGTCAACACGTATCTGAAAAAGAAAGAGGCTACTATTAACTTCCTAGATCCTGAGCATGGCCACCTATTTTATTCAAAATATTAAACATGGAACTTTAGGAACATCCATAAACTTACAGAGGCATTTCAAAATCCCATTCTCTGTGATTCTAATGCTAAATTTTGTTTCTAGTGTTAAAGTTTTTCATCTTATAGTCTGTCTAAATGAAGTGAACAAAGTCAAGCTTTCAACAAACCAAACAACCAAATACTTGATCTGCATTGGAATTTCCATTTTTATGAAGATTAAAATTTCTATTTATCCAGTTTTTTATGAGAAAGGAATAAGAAATTATTAACCTATTTTGATAAAATGCCAACATTGAACCTTTTTCCAAGTGTTCATTTATGATTCATCTTTAATTTTTTGCTAAATTTGAATTATGGATCAATAAAAAGATAACTATATGAATATAAAATCAATTTATAATGACTGAGTTCTGAAATAATTTGGGGGGATATTTACCACTCATGTTCTTATTTGTAACTATATGAGCTTCTGGAATCTATCAGTTGGAGGAACGCAAGCAATCCAATGAGAGATGTTTAGAAAATACAGGAAGGATTTTGAAGCTTCAGTTTTCCTCTCTTGTCTTGTTTTTTCTTTTCAAGGATGTCTATGACAATGTATATGACAACCACTAAGGCAGAACTCTAGTAGAGTTGTCTAATCATGTCAACTAGACCCGCATGGAGAAGTCTGATTTTTATCCTCAGGGGTCAGAGCCTATTTTTAAGACAAGCCACAGTATCTTTGTGTTACATAGCCAGCCACTTTTTATTCTTTTTTTTTTTCCAACTTTTATTTTAAATTTGGGGGTACAAGTACAAGTTTGTTATAAAGATATATTGTGTAATGTTAAGGCTGGAGTACAAATAAATCCATCATCCAGGTAGTGAGCACAGCACACAATTGGTAGTTTTTCAACCCTTTTCTCTCTCCTTCTCTTCTCCTGTTCCCCAGTGTCTATTGTTCCCATCTATAAGTTCATGTGTACTCAATGTTTAGCTTCCACTTATAAGTGAGAACATGTGGTATTTAGTTTTATTCTTTTTTATACTCAGTCCAGATTTGTAGCTCACAGGCTGGGTAGATAAAGATTTTTGTGTTCAAATTTCCAACCAATAGCAGCTATACGCACATATCTGGGCCTGCCAATTTTCCCATTTGCTTGTTGAAGAATCAACTCTTATGCAAACATCAAGATCTGTTTATTTTCCTAAAACAGTGTAATGAATGGAATCATAAGTAGAATTGGGTAACCATGGGTCTCTGAATCCAGCTCCTGGGCACACACTTTCTCCTGCTTCTCAACAGTTAAGTTTGTGGATAAGGGAAGATTAATCATTAAAGCAATATCATGGGCTGCCCTAATACAGAGGGCCTGCTGCTAGGTAAGGTAAGAGTTACACTAGGAGAACAGGGAGAGATAAGGCCACTGACTTAAAATGGAACAATCCCTAATCTTAGGGGAGAGGTGGAAAATAGAGCCTGGAGCTTAGGCAGGACTTTATTAAAAGGGAAGGAAGGGAGCAAGTTAAAAAAGGCATGGACAGGCTAAGCTAATCCCAAGAATGCAGCAAATCAATGTATTAGCAAATAGCTATTCAAAATTGTAGGACTTTACATTTTAGTAACTGGCCTTAAGATTGGTTTTAGTAACAAGCACAATACTTTTTTTTTGTTTTGTTTTTTAGTTTTCTCTGTCTTTTTTTTGTCCTTTTTATAATGGAAAACTTCAAACATACACAAAATGGCAAGGATAGTACAACAAATTCCCAAGTATACATAACCCAACAATAACAATTGTAAGCATTTGGCCACTCACGTCTCTTTAGCTCCCCCACCTCCTCCCTATCCTCCCAAGTTCCCATTGAATTATATATCATGTCATTCATAAATAATTCCATATATTTAGTTACAGCTCAATGAATTTCCACAAAGTGAACATGCTCATGTAAACCACACCTGCACTGGGAAATAGAAATTACAAACACACAGAGCCCCCTCTGCAGTACTCTCTTAGTCCTTTCCTCACTACTTCCCAAAACAGTAGCCACTATCACCTATTGTGAACTTTGCATATATGGATTCATAGAATATGTGTATTTTTTGGTTTGGCTTCATTTGTCTAACATTGTTGGTAAGATTTATCCATGTTGTTGAACATAGCCATAGTTTGTTTATTTTCATTGCTCTATAGTATTTTATTGTAAGAATACACTACAATGTAGTCATCCATTCTACCACTGATGCACAACTGGGTTGCTTCCAGCTCTTGACTATGACAAATGCTGCTGCTATGAACATTCTTATATGTCTTTTGGAACACACTTGTATTCATTTCTGTCGGGTATATAACAAGTATGAAATTGGGTCTTAAAATATGTATATATTAACTTCATCAAATGCTGCCTAAGAATTTTTTGAAGTGGTTGTGCTATTTTACCTTTGCCAGTTCTAGTTGCTCCATATCTTTGCAGTCACTTGACAGTGTCTGTATTTTTTATTTTGACCAGACTGGTCTGTGTGTCATGGTATCCCATTGTCACTTTAAGTTGCATGCCCTTGATGAAGACATTTTCTGATGCTTAATTGGCTCTTTGAATATATTCTGTATTTTGGTTTATAGGCATTTTTCACATATTTTGGATATAAGTTTTTGATTGGACATAAACATTGCCGATATCTTCTCCCACTTTAACTTGCCTTTTCTTTCTCTTAATGGTGACTTTCTACTTAACACAAATTCTTAATTTTAATGTAGTCAATTTATCAGACTTTTCCTGTATAATTAATGCTTCAAGAAATTTTTGTCAACCTCAGTGTCATAAAGATATTCTCTTATGCTATAGAAACTTTGTTTTTTGTTGTTGCTTGTTTGTTTGTTTGTTTGTTTTTTGAGATGGAGTCTCACTTTGTAATCCAGGCTGGGGTGCACTGGCATGATCTCGGCTCACTGCAACCTCCTCAGCCAGGGTTCAAAAGCAATTCTGCCATGGCCCAGTCAGCTGGGATTTATAGGCACCTGCCTTACTTACACTAGTATTTTTTGCTATTTTTAAGCAAGTAGATTTTTCATATTTGTCTTAGCAGGATGGCTCAATCTCTTGATACAAGCAAAGTTGCACCGCTTATAGCACCCAAATCTAAATTAGGCTCAGCCACTCTTCAATTTGAAACTTTTATATAATACTATCATTTCACATTTACTTTAACCATACCATATTTATTTACAATCTCAGCAAGTTAGAAGTCCAAATATACCTTCCTACAAATAATATCCAGGGATCTACTTTATTAAGTTATTGTTATTCTCTTACTCAATTTCATCACATAATAAATAGGATGGATAATATTGCGTTGTTTCTGGTTTCTTTATTTATGTCCTTCTGCTAATATCATCTTATTTTAATTGTAATAAAGATTGAAACACCTGATGGTATACATTCTTGAGCTCTGCTCTTCTTCAGAACTTTCTTGATTCTTCTTGGTCTTTTACATTTTTCAAATACATTTTAAAATTAGCTTGTCAATTTCAAATTACCTGATAGGATTTTTGAGTAGGATTTCGATTATAAACATTATTTAATAAATATAAATGACTTATTTACAATATAGAATCTTTCTGTTCATAAGCATTTTGTATATTTTTATGCATATGATATGTATATCCTTTTTTAAATTTTTACTTTAAGTTCTGAGATCTACATGTGCAGAGACGTGCACATAGGTATACATGTGCCATGATGATTTGCTGCACCTATTAACCCATCATCCTACAACCTTTAAGTCCCACATGCATTAGGTATTTGTCATCCTCTCCCTTCTTCCCCTCAATCCCTGACAAGCCACGGTGTGTGATGGTTCCTCCCTGTGTCCATGTGTTCTGTTCAACTCCCATTTGCTGAGGGAGAACACTTTGAGGTTTGGTTTTCTGTTCCTGTTTAGTTTGCTGAGAATAGTGGCTTCCAGTTTCTGTCCATGTCCCTGCAAAGGACATGAGCTCATTCTTTTATATGGCTCTATAGTATTCATGGTGTACTCCTAGATTTGTATATGTACAAATTAGATCTCAAGATAAAGCCACTCAAAACCACAAAATTACATGGAAATTGAACAACCTGTTCCTGAATTACTACTGGGTAAATAATGAAATTAAGGTAGAAATAATGAAGTTTTTTGAAATCAATGAGAACAAAGAGAGACAGTATGAAATCTCTGGGACACGGCTAAAGCAATGTTAAGAGAGGGGAAACTTACAGCACTAAATTCCTACAACAGAAAGCTGGAAAGATCTAAGTGGCCCCTAACATCACAATTAAAAAAGAACTAGAGAGGCAAGAGCCATGACATTTCAAAGCTAGCAGAAGACGAAACAATAAAGAGAACAGTAGAACTGAAAAGAGATAGAACCACGAAAAATCCTTCAAAAAATCACTGAATCACTTGAGTTATTTTTTGAAAAGATTAACAAAGAGATGGACCACTAGCTTGACTAAGCGAGAGAAGAATCAAATCGACACAATAAAAAGCTGAAATAAAGGGGACATCATCACTGATCCCAAAGAAATGAAAACTACCACCAGAGAAATACTATAACATAAATGCAAATAAACTAGAACATATAGAAAAATGGATAAATTCCTGGATACATACACCCTCCCACCATGAAGCCAAGAAGAAGCTGAATCCCTAAATAGACCCATAACAAGTTCTGAAATACAGCCAGTATCATGGCCTACCAACAACAACAACAATAACAGCAACAACAACAAAAGCCCAGGACCAGATGGATTGTGGCAGATTCACAGGAGGTATAAAGAGGCTGGTACCATTCCTTTGAAAACTATTCAAAACAATAGAAAAGAGGGACTCCTCCCCAGCTCATTTAATGAGAGGCCAGCATCACCCCTGCAAAGGCAGAGACACAGCCAAAAAAACTTCAGGCCAATATCCCTTATGAATAAGCG